ACAGGCAGCGTTCCACTCCTCTCCGCCAGCCCACTCTCTCCCAGCCATGAGATATATATAGCGCCAACGGAGGAAGCATCGCGTGTTTGTCTGCAGCCCTTCTGCGGATCCATCACGGAGCAGTGCTCGGCGCAGATTTTGCAAACAGCTTGAGATTACTGAATTAATTAGAATAAAATTAATCAAAACACCCACCACAAAGGAACCTGAGCGTGTAGAGTACGACTTGGGTGAGGGAGGAGGCGCCGCAGAGAGAGGGCACCGCAGGCTGGACTGGCTTCCCGCCCAGAGCCCGGGCAGGCCAAGAGTCAGAGGGATGGGGCTCCGATTCCAGCCCCACGCCTGCGCACTGGGTCTCTGTCCAACCAGTGCAATCGGCGGAAACCGAGCTTGGGTCCCGACGGGGTGTTGGGCTGAGCCTTTAAGGAGGCGATGAATGGAAGGGAGATGAACTGGCAGGGACATTGCAACAGATTCGAGGGCAGAAGGCCTGGACCGCGGAGCGTCATCATCCCAGCTTTCCAGGATGGACGGTTTTGACTTTACTCCCCTGTTTGAGTCCTTGTAAGTTGTACAAAACAGATTGGAGGTTAAGAGCATGGATCCTGGGCTAGGCTGGGTTCAAAGCTTGGCTCTACCGCTCACTTACCAGCTATGTGATGACTCTGAGCCTCAGTTTCCTCATCTGTCAAATGGGGATAATAATAGAACCTCCCTTATGGGGACTGGTATACAGTAAGTGCTACGGAAGTGTAGGCTGTTATCACATCTAACCAATCAAGAGGCCTGTCCACCTTCTTCCAAATTGTCTTCATATTTCCTTTTTCTTCCTGCTGTCACTGTTTCAGTCAGGCCTTCATCACTTCATTCATTCATTCATTCATTCCATAAACGTGTGCCACTGTGTGCCTGACACTGACCAGAGCTTGGGGATGCATGATGAGACCGGCCCCTGGCTTTGGGGGGTCCCTGCCTAATAGAGGGGTGTGGATACGCCTGGTCAAACTCCCAGGGGTCAGGGAAAGTGTCACAGAGAGCTTTGAGCTGCAGCTCTTGGGGTATAGAAGCCTAGGAAAGGCATTCCAGGTAGGGGGAACAGCATGTGCAAAGCATTGCCACCAGAGTTAGTGCCCTAAAACAGGAATTTGCTCATGTTCAGCCATGTCCTGGTTCAGGGACCTGTGGTTGGCCCTGTTAGCTCACCGTAGTCGATATCGTAGTTGAAGCGAAGCCCTCTGCTTGGGTTTCAGACTCCTCCCAAAATCTGCCTCCACTTACCCACCCTGTGCTCTCCAACTCAGCTGGGCGCTTAGAGCCTGTCTCCTTCTGTGAAACGACAGCATTATCATGTAATTTAACCTGATGACTGTGTGTATGCCACAGGTGCTTAATAAATAAGCCCCTCCTCCCCCGCCAACATACATTGAGCTGCTTGGTCTGATTTGTTCCGAGATCAGCAGAGCGATTTCCAGGCGCGGCTTTGCCTCCTGCGGGCCATACTCCTGTCCCTTCCCCAGAGGGATCTGCCTTTATTTCCTCCTCTGCGAAATCAGATGGTCCCAGAGTTTCTCAGTAGGGGGCGCTGTGGGCATTTGGGGGGAACTATTTGTTGCGTTGCGAGACCCTCCGGTGCAGGGTGGAGAGTTTAGTGTCCCGGTAGCCCCGCCTCCCCCGGGCCTCTGCAACCAGAACCGCCCCTCACATTCCCAGCCCTTCCTCCCTGCCCTGGTATAGGGACTCCCTTCGAAAGGCATTTCCATGACCTTTGCCAGCTCTGACCTTCTTCCCGGCTCTGACTCCTCAATTAATGACATGCCTAATGCCTCTAGGACACTCTGCTTTGTGCGCCTCCCTACAGTGCCTAGAGGAGTTTCAGGCACATGTAAGGCAGGAAACAAGAAGTCAGTGACAGACTCCTGAGAGCAGATACAGCCCAGGCTCACATCCAGCTCTGCCACTTATGACCAGCTGTGTGATGCTGAGAAAGCTACTTAACCTCTCTGAACTCCAACACTAGGTTCATCTGTAAGATGAGCCGTGATGGTAAGATTACCCACCTCGTAGAGTTATTGTGAAGGTTAAATAAGATAGTAAATATAAAGCACGTAGCACAGAGCATTGCTTGCAATTACATGCTCAATAAGAGGTTTATTGGGTCATCTTGGGCAAAATTGTATCTCTCTCAATTTTCTCATCAAATAAGCATGATAGCGCAACCCTCCCAGGGCTGCTGTGAGACCAGAGTCAACAATGCACATCTGTGCCTGGCGTATAGTTGGCCCTCACGGCTGCTGCGAGTGTAAATGGTTCGCCACCATTAGAGGTCAGTCTGGCATATTTCAAAATCACAAATGTGCATAACTCTTGTCCCGGCAATTCTGTCTCTAGCTGTTTTTCCTGTAGATGTATTTCGAAGTGTGCAAATAACTTATGTACAAGATTGTGTTAGCAAAAGATCAGAAATAATTCAAATTAGCCATCCACTGGGAACTAGTTAAATCGATTATGGTACATAGTTACACTGGAATACCATATAGGTGTAAAAAGAACTAAGGAAGTTTAGAAAGATCTCCTAAATATCTTGTTCCAGAAGAGAAGAAGAGTGTGTCTGGAATGGCTGTATTTGTGCACTTGTCTATGTGTAGAATATCTCTGGAAGGATTCACAGTGAATCAGCTGCAGTGGCTGTTGTCTTCAGGGAGGGCACTGGGGCACAGGGAGGGGAGGAAGGCTTTGTGAATTCGGAGCCATGTGCACACAAAAGCCATGGATAGGTGTAAAATCCACCGTAAAACGCCGGGAACTGTAATAAACCCGGATCCGAAGTGAGGTCTCTGTGCTGGGGGGTGATGTGAGGCTCGGCTCCCCCTGTCTCGGGCGTATGGCCTATTGCTCTCGCTATCAGCACGCACTTCCAGGGACCGAGAGGGGGCTTGGCTGGAGGCCAGGAGGTGCTGTGCCCCCCCGGGGCAGGCAGTGGCTCGGTCCATCCCTGGCACCTTGGGAGGTGACATCCCCCAAGGGTGCCACATGTTTGCACTTAAACTGGGGCTGTGGTACCAAGGGTCTGATTGCTCTGCCTGGGATGTGCCACCCCGGGGTTCTACGAGTGTGACTAGAAAAGGAGGAAATTTCACAGATGGCCCAGCCTGTGTCTCTTCTCCCTGCCTGGAGCAAAGGAGTTGCTGCCGTTGTTCCGAAGGAATGAGGCATCTGTCCCAGAGCAGGGTTCAGCCCTCAGGTGGAGCAGAGGGAGAAGGATGGAGATCTGTAGCTTGTGGAGTCAGACACACTTGGTTTCAGTCCCACCCAGGCCACATTCCTGCTATGTGGTCTTGGGCAAGTCTTTGAACCCCTGCAGGCCTCAGTTTCCACATCTGTGACATGGGAGCAATCACACCCACCTCTCAGATTGTTGTGAAGAGTGAAGGTAACATGTGTAAAGTGCATTAACACAGAGGAATAACTGAAGGAAGGTTTTGGGTGCAAGGAGTTGATTTGGAGGGTGATCCTGGGAAGCGCTGGGAGAGGGAGACAGGGACAGCAGGGAAGCCAACGAAGGGCGCGTCGATGAGCAGGTGGCATCCTGGCCATAGGGCTCAATCCTGCCGGACCTCGGGGAGACTGCAGAACAAGCCTGAGTCACCAACAGAGAGATAGCTGGGGTATTTATACACCAACCCCCTGCGGTCACCAGGTTGGGGGCTACTCTGGGCCGCTTAGACCCCTAGCACTTCCGGCCTGCCTGGGGCTCGGGGCAAGCAGACTGTAGTGATGGGGGAAATCAAAGAAGCCTCCCAGGCAGAGAGTCACAGGTGCCTGGAGTCCAAGAGCCACATACGGGACTAGCAAGTACCAAGGGCGTACGGAGGGAGCACCAATATCTCTGTCATAAGTGCTTTAACATGCGCCAGGCACTGTTCCAGCACCTTCCAAATATTAACTCGCTTCCTCTTTACTAGAGCACGGTGAGTAGATGAAGACGCTGAGGCATAGAAATGCTACACAACTTGCCCAAGTTCATCCAGCCAGGAGGAGGAGCCAGGATTTTAACCAAGGAAGCCTGATTGGGTGGGTCTGAAGGGCCTTAGAGACCACCTAGGTCAGCTCCCTCGTGTTACGGATGAGGAAACTAGGATCAGAGAGGAGGAACAATTTATCTAAAGTCACACAGCCAGCTAGTGACAGGACCAGGACTTGAACTTGGATATCCTGTTCCTTCTCTGGCACCCCCCTGCTCAGCCTTAGCCCTTTCTCCCAGGGGTTGCCAGTCTCAGTGGGGCTGGGCGTCGGTGGCGGCTTTCTGCAGAGCGCTGGGTGCTGCAGTGCGGAAGCCAAGAGGCCATTAATCGGCGGGGAAGGCGGGCGTAGCACAATCCGATTATGATCTTTAAGATGCATGCTTTGAATCTCAAAATCAGCAAAGGAATCAGGACCCAGAGGAGGCGTGTGTCGCCCGTCCTAGCTTTTTAACCCCAGGCTGGCATCGAAAAGGAAAAGACGAGCTGGGCTCACTAGGGTGTGAAATTTCCTTTTTGTCTCCCGGGGTGGGGAGGGAGAGGTGAGAAATTGCACTGCACCCCATGTGTAATTAAAGGCTGCAGAATTTCTTGAGGATTATGCTGCTCAAGGAGACTCAACGGGCTCTGGGAGGGATAGCTGGGCCTGGCTGGCGTGCCTCTCGACAGACTAAGGAGGTTAGGAGGGGTGTGTGTGCGTGTGTGTGCATGTGTGTGCACTTGGAAAGAGGAAAGCACAACTGGCAAGATATAAATTAACTCTTATAGCTTCATACTTCTCAGAAAAGCCAAAGCAGGAGCTGGCGGTCTTTGCCTGGAGACAACCTTTCTAGAATTTTCACCCTTGAGTTGCCAAGAGGTGTTCTTTGCCAAACTCTAACCAGGTTGCTGCAGACATGTCAGGCAAGATAAGAGTGGCCGGCTTGTCCCAGTTTGCCTGGAACTGTCCCAGTGTCAGCACTGAGTCCCCTGCCCCGAGAGGCCTCTCAGTCCTGGACAAATGAAGACGGTTGGCCGCCCTAGGCATGACCCTCTGTCCTTCCCTGGCTAAGCCTGGGCCAAGAGAAGCCAGCTGTGTGGGAAGACTGGGCTGGTGCGGGCTGGATGAGGTCAGGGTGACGGGCAAGTGCCGGCCGTCCAGCCAGGTTTCCAGATCTGTCTCCAAGCCTTATCTTTGGATGCCCTGCCTTTATCTGACTGCTCCCCCAAATCAGATTGCACCCCTGTCAGGGGCCCTTCCTGCTCTGGGAAGGGGCATCCACGACTCCCCGATGGGTCTGCTGGGTCTGGCTGGCAGAGCTGTGTGCCTGGAGAGGGGACAGTGCAGCGCAGGGGCCAGGCTATGAGTGCTGTGCAACTTAGGAAAGTCCCTTTCCCTCTCTGGGCCTCAGTCTCATATGAAGGGGTTGGACTGGGAAATTTCTAATTCTTTTTTAAAGATTTATGTTTAAGTTAATAAAGTAACATAATTGTGTGCTGAAAAAAATTTAACAGTACAAAAACTTAAGAGTGAGAGGTTAAAGTCTCTTCCTCCTTCTCTGCGACCCATGGAACAACCATTGCTAACAGTCTCTTGTTTATCTTTCCGGACGTTTTCTATGCATATGCAAGCGTGTGAGTATATATAGCCTTTATTTAAAATGTAACACAAATGAGATCGTACTTTACATACTATTCCGCAACTTGCTTTTTCTGTTTCACAATATATCCTGGACATCTTTTCACGTCCACACACACATAAATCTCCCTCGTTCTTGTTGCTGCGGAAAGTTCTGCTGCAAGGATGCACCGAGGCTTGTTTAACCAGAACGGCTGGCTTTGGAGGTCCCTGCCAGCCCCAAGCCCACCGCCCAGGCAAAAGGGAAACGAGGGGGCGTGGGGGGTGTGGAACAGGGCTGGGGGATAGCGGCAGATTGTCAGTCTGGGAAAGCCGGGTGTCTGTGGCATCTCTTCACTGAGATGTAAAATGATGTGATGATGGGTGGGGGGAAACAGAACTTCTGGGTGGTGAGGATTAGGCATGGGGGGGCGGCGGGAGCGTCTAAAGATACACAAAACATCCTCCCTGGCGCCAAGGTGGAACCACAGACACGAGGCTCTCTTCTAATGCGGTGTGACAGGGCTGCAGTGCCTGATACGTTTTTCCATTTCTTTGTCTTTCCTGAGAGCAGCTCGTGATTATCACCTTCTAGGTCACCAGGAGCAGAGCACAGAGGGACAACACAGCTTTTGCGCTTCCAGCTGGCTCCCATCAAGAAGTTAGAAGGGAGCCTGCAAATACATTTCCTTTTATCATCTCTGCACCCCAGAAGCAGTTTCCCTGGCGGCGCCGGGAGAGGGGAGGCGGGCAGCGGGCTCCTCAGGGGGACCTGGGCAGGAATATTAATGTTCCGACTTTGCAGCGTAGGGTGGAGGAGCGGCCCTAGCCCAGCCGGCCCGGGAGGGCCTGGAAGGTGGCTGCCAGCAGCCGTGGGCGACACGGATCCGCAGGTTGGTGGCAGGGGCCGCCCAAGTCCTAATGAAAACATCTCGCTCCTGACAAGCAGCCCCCAACACACCGCCCGGGAGAGGGTGGGCTCGGGACGGGGACACCCGTCCTGCCGGGCTGTGCGCGCACAGTGACATCGCTTTTCTCCAGGCAGGTGCATCCATCTCGCCGGGCTGAGACGGATAACACGATCTCTCTGCCCACGCCCCATTTGCTGGGAGACAGCCTGGGCTTCTCAGTTTTTTATGGGCTCACTTAGCTTGGAGGAAATCCAGAGGTCACAGCCGGCGCAGACGCTCCAGTCACCTTGCCCATCCGGGCGCGCAGCCTTTCCGAAACTGGCTCACCCACGGGGCCCTAAATTACGGCGATTACACTGCAATTCGCCGCGCGATATTACTTTGATACACTACCTGCTGCAGCCTGGCCAGGAGGCGTGCATTATTTACCAGGGAGGCCGCCCGCGCCGCGCCACAGCCGCCAGCGCTCCGCGGGGTCCCTCGGGTCGCTGCGCCCGCCCGCCCGCCCGCCCGCCCGCGGTAGGGGTCTGGGGAGGAGGGGGTTGGAGCAGCCCCCCGCCCCCACCCCGGAGCGACTCTTTCCCGACCGCAACACAGGCCAGGAGCGGAATGAGTGGCGGAAGTGGCAGCCGGCATGGGGCTGGGGTTGGTGGGTGGGCAGAAGTGCCGAGCTGGCAGCTGCGCCTGGCTCTTGAGGGCACCCCTGACCCTCCTTGGCGGGCCTAAAAGAGCCCCTGTCGCGTGCACCCTTGGATCCGCACGGAGGGCGTGCCCAAGGGCGTACGGCTGGGTCCCAGACCTGCCCTTAACCCGCAGCCAGTTTCAGGGATTTGGCCCGAGGCGCTGGTGGCAGAGACGCGTGAGATCAGGCTGCCCCTTCCCTTGGGCCCGACGCCGAGTCTGCCTGGGCCAGGCCTGGTTTCGCCCTGGCTGGGGGCTGGGCCGCTCTCGCTCTCCCATCAACGCCTGGCATCAGCATCTAGATTGCGGGTTACTTCTGCTTTTATCCAAAGTGGTCCTTAAGGGAGATGGATTTCTGATTGAAATCCAGTCAATTGGTGCCGTGGCTCCGGGCGCCCAGCGAGAGCACACTTCTAGGGAAATTGCCCTGGGTCTGGGAGGAGGGTGCGGTCGGGAGGGGACAGGAGCCCGAGAACACACCAGGCGCTCCCACTGGCATCCGCAGGTGTCCGGCACAGGGAATCCACTGTCTCGCTAGCCCCCCAGGACTGACGGAGCCAGAAACCATGGCGAGCGGCACCCGGAGCTCAGCATCCAGTGTCCGGCCTCTGGACAGTGCGTGCTGAATAAGCCCAGGGAGGGGCCAAGCTGGTGAGATGCGGCTGTCTGTTTTGGTGGGTGAAGGAGGGTGGTCTGCAGTGGGCTGGGTTGGTCTGCCACGTTAGACCACATTAGTTCCAGACCTAGTTCATGTTCTTCAGGATTTACTAACAAACAGGGAGAGGTCATTTGTCCCTGCAGAGCATGGCTGGCTGGGTTCAGCTTGAACAGTTCTGGACACCTCAGCACTGCGCATGGGGTTCCTCCTCCTGGACAGCGTCCCCACCCCACCCCCAGCCTTCCCTTCCCACCGGGGAATAGGAGCTCTGGAAAGGCATCTCTGACCTCCCCCATCTCCCTATCACCCTGAAAGTCCTGCACGTAGAGGCTCTGAATTCTAGGTGAAGCCTCACTCTCTAGCAGAGACTGGCTTACGACGTACGTCCTCTGGGAGTGGCAACTCTTTGCGTCCCCAGTATCTTCTAGTGGAGGAGCTCATTCCGCCTGCTCTTCCCGGGCTAGCAAAGAACATATATATCATTTCTCCATCTACTTTGGGACTTGCCTGAGATGAACATATTTTTTAAAAGGAATCCCAGTTGCTACAGGAGCAGATGGCGCCATGGGGACAGCCAAGGGCAGGAGAAAGATCAGCGGCTTGCAAGTGAGGCATCCTGGTCCCTGCCCAGCCCCTTCCCCTGCTAGCCACGTGACGGTGGGCAAGTGACTCCCTTGCTCCGTTCTGCCCCAGCTTCCCTCGTGAAGAGTGAG